GTATGCTACTCTTGAATATATGCTCGCCAATTCTATGTTAAAAGAATAATCTGAACTTAAAAAAAATTATCGTCATTTGAAAACCTGATTCTTTAGAAGAATACTATCTAGCTATACTATCATCTCTTGTTAATTTTTTTATAATTTGATTTTAACTATAAAAGAAAAAAATCACAAGTATTAGCTAGAAAAAGAAAAGAAAGAAATATGCCTTCTCTGAAGTTAAAAAGAAAAAAATCACAAGTATTAGCTAGAAAAAGAAAAGAAAGAAATATGCCTTCTCTGAAGTTAAAAAGAAAGAAAATCGAACTAATATCTTCTTTTTTCTCTTTTATAATACTTACTATTGCTTTTCTTTATTGGAAAATATGGCTTACGCATATTTTATTTTCTCTTTGTTTACAACCAAAAATGACAGGTATTCTATACAAAATTCTTTATGCAGTTTGAGTATTGTTATATGTTCAAGATTATGAAGTCTGTATTCAAAAAAAAGAATGTCTGCCGCAAAACCTCGATCAAGGTTAAATTTAAATCCAAATGTTTTGAATATTGTGGCCATAGATAATATTGATATGAAAGATATAACATTCCAATATGGCAATATTTTTGATGTTGTTTGCAATACTGCATATGCAACAGTATGAATGGTTTTTCAATATCAATATCCGGAACTTTCCAATTTGAATGATGATCTGATAGAAAATTATCCTTTTTTTTTTGGCGTAAGCTCTATTATAGAACAATAGCAAACAAAAGTAGATTCGATTTTTGACCGATTAGTTAGCCAAGAGCTGATTTTTGGTAGTGAACAGATCGATGAAACTATTAAAAAAAATATTAACTCAATATTGCGTGTATTTCCCCTGAATGTAATTATTCTTGAACCGAGAAAAGCTCCAAATAATGATGAGCATGTTCACAAAGCCATCGATATGTTTCTAGAAGATTTTGGTATACAGAAAATGGAGTATTAAATTTAGTATGCAATGAAGCAATTTATCGTCACATAAAAAATTACAAAAATAAAGAACAAACCGTGCATTGTATTCTAGAACAATGGTATACAAGCAAGGTGATGTGTAGTGTAATAATTGCCACATTTTTAGGCTATAGGCTTTTTGGACTTGCTGCACAACTTGGAGTTAAGTTTTTTGATAAACTTGAACAAGTTGCTAACTATCAGGCAACGTTCTGAGTACTTGAGCTTCTTTGAACGGCCATAGGAGTTGCAATCCATCAATATACTAAAGAAAAAAATATTTCTATTAATAATATTTTAAATGAAAACAACGATCTTTTAAAAGTATGGTATAATTTTTATCGATGGGTAGGATATTTAAAATTGCACAAGCTTGGTATTCAGATAGGGAACTTCGATCTACAAATGCATAGTTTGATGGCATTTGCACTTTTATTTAGTATTACAAGAAAATATAGATATACAGAATTCATAGCACAATTTATATCAGACCTTCACAGTAAGCCGCAATTTCTTCAAAATCTTCGGATGGTATCTTCAATTAACTTAACACAAGAAGAACATTACTTAGCTCTTGACAAGGCTCTAGAAACATTCAGAATAAAATTTTTTAAAAAAAATATGACCGGTTATGCAACAAATTTAAAAAACCTAGAGTGAAACATCAAAGCAGCACAAGCCAAATATGATCGACTTACTTTGTTAATTTTTGAATTTACCAATGATCAGTTAATAAGCAAAAGTTTGTAATCTATTAAAAATCATTTAGACGCTCTTTGAAAACTAATTGACATACTTAAGTTAGTATTTAGTATGCAATAACCAGAAACTCATATATTATTTGCAGAAGCTATTCAACTTACAGAAGATAAATATCAATGAATGTTTGCTTGCTATGAATTAGAAATTAGAAAAATGAATAATATCGTTGAACAAGGTACTTTGAAAGCAGAACAAATCTTAGTGCCCCTAAAAATTCAAAAAAATAAACGTATGAGAAAAGAAACTAATCAAACGAAAACAAATAAAGCAACTATTAGTTCACAAGCCTTAGAACTAAATGAAAATATGGAAATTGAAGAGGTTAATCAAGACTTATAACTAGTATTATTATCTAAAACTGGTTTATCTTCAGAATCATTATACAAAAAAAAGTATTCAATACACAAACCCACAGATGCTGAAGAACTGATTCTTGCAAAACTTGAAAAATATAAAAGCTCTATTGTATTGTCTTCAGAAGTAGTTAAAGATCTTGCTAAAAGGTTGGCAGATTATACTAATTATTGGAATCTAACATGAATTTGAGGTCAATGGTATAATTGTTATAAAAGATCAAAAAAATGAGATCGCAACTCTAAACTTAGATCGTTAAACTTTATTGTATTAAAATAAATAGTGTTAATAATAAATTATTTAAAAAATAGTATTTTTTTCTAAACAAAATTAATTTGTAAAAAAATATATATATATATTTATATGATCTACTTATTTATAAAACATTTTTCTCTGATTTTCTTCATTATACTTATAATGCACTAGCCTTTTGTAGATGCATTTTGGTGAAAGCTCTCACTTTGGTACATCTAATGATCTATATTTTATATCAAGTACTTGCAAACTCAAGAAGAATCAAGCGAATGAAAGGAAAACAATTGGTCATTTTCAAAACTATATAACTTTATAAGAAAAAGTTTATTTATTATATTTTTGATATATTCTGATTTGTAAAAACCTTAGCTACAATATTGTTTTAAGAAGTATTATAACTTTGAACTAGAGCTTTGAGTGGAATTTTTAAAAATATAAATTCATCGATTTGTGTAATCTATAAAAATTATATGATAAAATTTTGAATGTGATAAATTGGGCGCTTGATATGGAATCATATTAATACAAACCCGTGAAGTAAATATTTAGAAGATTGTGATTTATCTGTGTCTAGTGATAAATATCTTTGTAAATCAATTTCTATAGTAAACTTATAATCTTTTATAAAAAAATACATATTTGGATCGATTAATTGAAAAATAGAGCTTATAATAAAAATTAAATAAAGTAAAGATACTTTAATCATGATATCTCTTTGCATATCATATTCAAACCATTTTAATTGCAAATGAAGTATCAGAGAGAAACTTTCAAAAATTACTTCTTTCTTTGCATCCTATAAACAATTAAAATTAACATACTTGCATTAAATGAAGTAATTTTAACTATATGTATTTTATACCTAGTTGTCAATATCAACATAACTAAAAATCTACTTATTTGTAAACCATAGCCTTCAGCATAGTACTTATTTTTTTTTCTTCTATAATCTCTTCTTGTATAAATTCCATAAAAGAATCATCCAGTCTTGCACCTCTTTACATTAAGTTAAATATTTCTCCAATATAATTAAATATTATTTTAAAAAAAATATTAATCTATTTACAAAATAGATTGCTACTATAGTAATCTTTGATACAAGAAGATTCAGTCTATACTAACACATTTAACATAACTTTTTATCTGCTACCAAAAAGCTAAAAAATAGCACCATCTGCTCCTGTATTCTGAATCAAGCAAAAATGTCTGTAATAATTTATAGTAAGAAAGGTTTGAATTAGTTAAATTCGTCTAATTCAATGAATAATAAAACTTATCTTCATTTTACCTCTAAATTGTCTTGTAACACTTAGTTAAACTCTTGTATATAATATTGCATAAATAATTCTAATAAATCCTATTTGAAAGATCTTGTTAATTCTGTTATTTCAACCAGAGTATCTGATGTTTGTAATTGATAATAAACTCTTTGTAGTGTTAAGAAAATACTTTGACCAGATTGTCATCTTTAGTAGAAATTTGATAAACCGCCTATAAACAAATATATATACGAGTGGATATACATTATTAATTGGTGATTTGCTACTCAACCAGAGAGAGTTTATAGTATAACATGATGTGATTTATATATAGAAATTAGGGTTTTTGGAATGTGAGCTGCTTCTATCTAAAACTTTTTTTTCGTACTAAGTTAATCATCTTTGGGCCTCTAATTGAAGGTGTAGAGCTTATCGAAACAAATCTAATGGTAGTTAAATCATCAAAATCAGCTTGGTGAATCATGAGATATCTTCAAAACGTTTTGCCAACTATGTAAACTTAATTTTCAACAATACTATTGTTGAAAGAGAAGTTTACATAGTTGGTGAAACGTTTTTGAAGATATTACATGATCTACTAGGCCAATTCTAACAATTTAACTATCATTA